TTTCAAACCTCGATATATGGTACAAATTTGCCAATTTTGGTGAAAGTTCACTTGCATTTGACCTTTTTGATTTATGAACTACTCATGAACAAGTACAATGGCGAAACTCTGTCACACAACTTGGTCAAAGTTGTGAGTTTGCACTGATTATGCTGTCCAAGTCAACCCTAAAGGGCATGGAATGATTGCTCACGGTCAGTAGTTAATGTTGGGAATGTAATGTAGTAATCACGACTTGCTACTTCCATCCACTCTGAATCATTGGGTTCCCATTGTGTTCCTATGTTGTAGTTGCAATGGGAATCCAAATGGTGAGACCTCCGGAAACATGAAACGTTGCTGGGTACTTTTCAACGCTGGGTATGGCGTGGTCGCGCGTGACGGACTTGTCGTGCATGATGCTGGTCCACGTGTCGCCGATCTTGTCGACGCTGTCAGTATGCTCGTACACGGCAAAGTCGTGTTCGGGGATTTCCAGTGAGATCCATCCCTCCGGCAAGGTATTGAGTTCCGCTTCGGTCACTTGGATCGCGCACAGGTAGAAGTATGTTCCGTCATTGAAGTCATGGCACACTCCATACGCTGCGTTGCCGTGAAAATGGGGCTGCATCGCGCCCCATAGTTCACCGATGACGGGAGACGGACCAGGAGCTACTCGAGCTTGGAGTCCTGCCACAAGCAGCTTCGAGCCGCGTACAATGCGATGCTCAATTGATGACATGGATGGGAAATCCAAAAATGTCGTCGTTTCAGGAGATATTCAAATCGATTCCCATTGGTGAAAATATATTCAAGTCCCAATATGATTGGTGCAATATTAACTTAGGACCAAATAACATGAGCCAATCAAAATGGATTTGGATTTATCTCGTTTTTTTCGAGATTTTTTTGCGAAAATAATCACAGAAAAAAAGGTATTTTGCCCAAGCACTTGGAGAATACCGACCGACATTTGTGCAATAAATTGCAGTTAGTACACTTGTTCACAATGCGCATTTACCACGTGTCCTCCAAGTTCATGTAGAAATTGGTGATTCACCGTTGAAGACGCACCCGTTTGGACGTCTATGTTGCTTGAGAAATGTAGCTACATCAGACCAAGACAGTCCAGGCAGTGAACCACCTAGACCCCCTCAACACGAATCCAGGGTGCGGTTTCACGTGACCAATCAATTGCTGATCTGTTCGAGTGCCGGGGCTTTGAGCTTCGTCTAACTGCCGTAACTATGGCCATTCCACTTGCATTATCATTCTCGTGTCGTCTAGGTACTTCTGTACAGTTGCTAGAAGTCGTGGGAATGTCCTGCAACGAACGACAAAGATCAAGAACGATGCGGTAGTAGCAGCAGCTAAGTCGCCGACGTCACAATTGGCAGCCACAGGGTCAAAGCGTGTCCTTCTTTAAAGTCGAGGGGGTACACCTCCAAGCTCGGCACCGAATAGTCGTGTGTGACTTGGCCCGACGTTGTGATGGCGTTCCAGTGGTCGCCGATGGTCGCGAGGGGGCCGCCGTGGTCGTACACGGCGAAGTCATGCGCGGGGATCTCCACGGCGACCCATCCGTCCGGCAAGGCCGCGCCTTCGTCCACGTCCACCGCCGCCACGTACGTGTACACGTCGGCGTTGAAGTCGCGATACACGCCGTACGCTTGCTTGCCGGTCAACGAAACGGTGGATCTCAGTTGTTCCCACAGGGAAAGGATCATCGGCGACGGACCGACGGGGACGCGGGCCTGGAAGCCCGCTACGAAGCGCTTGGGGCCATGCTCAATGCGATGTGACAGTGGGTC